TGCTACCTTATCAAACTCCAGATATAATTCCGTGCATTGCCCAAAATCTCTCCTCATGAACCCAAGGTAAAAGACTTTGAGGTTTAAAAGCATAAGAAAATTTACTGGAAAGTTGGATTAAAATGCATCTTCATATTAGAGTAATTTGACAAAAGAAAATTTAGGATTGTTCTTGAATTGCTCGGAATTTAGGGACAAAATTGATCAGATTGAAACTACAGAGACCTTAGTTGTAAAAGTGGTAAATTAGAAAGACCAAAAATGAATTTTTGCCTAAAAATAATGATATGATTGTATAAGAATTGCTCATATTAGTAAGCATAGATAACAAGTTTTAATGGGTTGTTCAAAGAAATGTGGATTCACAACAATTTTTTTATTGACTGTTAAGTGCGTGAGAGTTTATGGTTTCAGTTGTAATGAGCATTTATTCCCACACTTGAAGTGAGATTTTGAAACTCTCTTCTCATTTAACTTCATTCTTGTTATATTTTTTTTAAGCAAATTTAGGTTTTAGCCAAAAAAAAAAATTTCACTTTTGGAAAAAGCCAAAGCTTTTTAGAAAATGACAAAAAAACCTCTCAACTTTCAAATCAAAGACATGCAAATGTAAACGATTCCTTAGGAAATCCAAAAATAAATAAGGGTAATTTTGTCTATTTTTGCTTATTTTACAAACTTTCTCTCTCCTTTGTATTTTTCCAAAGTCTCTTCCTTTTTTTTAAAAAAATACATTATTGTACTTTTATATTTTTTATAACTCGAGAGATATTAATGATTGGAGGAATCAAACATAAAACATCGGTTGTATATGCAAAACCCATGTGAGTAGATATAGCAATATTATATGACATGAATTCACACGAAAAATTAGGGTCTTTGACAACCTGTGAACATAATAGGTCATTTGGTACCAACCTGCTAGCTTAACATGTTGTTTCATATCAACCCATTAGCTTAACATGTCATGTCAAATTAGATTGGAGAACCAAAAAAAGGACCAATTTTCCAAGTGTACAACTAGTAAGCTATGGCATTGTTTGAAAGTGCTTTTAGAAAACACTTTAGACTATAAAAAATTATAAGTATTTGACATAAATTTTTTTATCAAACACACTTAGAAAAATATTGCAAGAAAAAAGAAAACTTTCATATATTGTCTCATGGGCATGAGCAGTCCTAAGCCTAGGGCAAGGTAGGCCACTGCCTACCCTAAATTTTTCAAAAAGAAAAAAATACCCATATGTAATGGTCCAGCCCATGTGAAACATAAGAACCTATGCCAACCCAAAAAGCAACCCACATGTATGCAAAACCCAAAATTTCTCCTCTCTTTAATTATCTTCTCCTATTAGGTTTCTATTAAAATACATGTATGCATCTTTAATTTTAAGATGTTGTATATGACAACTTTGAATCTAATATATTTTAAATAAGTTAGAAGTTATGCGTTATAGTTTAATTAAGAATGAATTATAATTTGAGGATTTTGTAGAAATTAATTAGGTCTTTGATTTTAGGAATTTTGTGGAGATGTTTTGTTGTTGGTATGTTAATGTTTGATTAAAGGCATTGATGCTATTATGAGAATTTATTTAATTTTTTTTGAGATGTTTGATTAAATAGGTTATCTTTTGTTATGTAGGATCACAATTTGAACCCCAAGAAAATAAGGAATTTGTTGTCATTTTTTTTAAAAAAAAAAAAGACAAAAAAAGAATATATATATATATATATATTTGGTGCTAAGCTTTTAGTTATGTGGGGTTAATTACTCAAATGGTCCTCAAACTTATATCGGATTTACATTTTGGTCCCTCAATTAAATTATTCGTTCAAATTGTCCATCTGTTGAGGCCCAAAAATCCAAAGGGTTAAGCCCAAATTAATTTTTGGCCCAACACAAAAAAGAAGATACAAAAGGGGCTTAATCGAAACAAAAGGGCATTTGTGGGACCCGCTAATACATGCTACCAGCCACGCATCATGCCAAGTAAGCACATACAAAGGGGCCAAATAAAACACACCAACTTTACAAAAATCACGCTCACATGCTCATTAGGTGTTACTTGACCCGAAATAATAAAACTCAAGCGCAAGCATAGGCATCATGCGAAAAGAGCCATTTATCTAGCACCAAGCTATGACATAAGTGGACCCAAGCCACAAAAATTAAACCGAGGCTTACTGAGAAGGTTGTGGCATGGAAGGAAACAAGCAATCACAGGGCCCATTGAAGGTTTGAGGAACACACGTTTTAAGCAACTTGGGGGCATTAAAACTCAAGCCCGTTCTTAGAACCCAAACACATGGGTTAGCATGAGAGAGAAGAGAAAATGGTCCAAAGCCTTAGGAAATCATCTAGTAGCCCAGCCCATATCAATAGAATGCCTAAAAAACTAAAGTCACTTCCAGCAGCTTGACGAAAAGCCCATTAGATGCGGGAGATAACACGCTGATAACCCAACACTATACACACAAGCCCAGCCCAAAGCCTTCTAAAAAGCTGGCGTCGTGCTCCATCCCTGTTAGGACTCCAAACAAGTCAGACAAGGAGCCATGACAAGAACCAGCGGAGATTCATGGGTGAAGGACAAATACCCATCGGACAAAAGGCTCTACCCGTCCCCTTTCCCATTATGAGCTTTGTTTCAAAAACTAAAGAGAGAAAGCAGGTGGCGCCTCACCCTCATGGGGAGGTCCAGCTGCGTCAAACCATTGGAACCACAAAGGGTCCCTTACCCGTGCATTTCGAACGGAAGAATTTCACCCAAAAGGTTAAGTGGAAGGAAGCAATGAGAAAGGGAGGAAAAGGATTAGACAAAATTAGGGTTCTTCATGCCTATAAAAGAAGGCTATTGCTACCCAGAAAACCAACACATTCAGAGGTCTGACCAAGCTTTGTCAAAGCATCTGAGAATTCACTCAAGACACCCAATCTCCTCTTTCGTTCGTTTTCTTCTCCCTCTTAGGATAGGAATCGTTCTAATCTTGCTCTGTTCACTTCAGGCTCTGATTCTCTATAAGGAATTCATGTCTCTCTCTCTCTCTCTCTCAAATTGCTAAACTTGTGAAAGCTTAGCTCTCATGCCATAGGCTTCTCAGGCTAAGCCGTTAATCGATTTATCATGCTTATTTGGTGTTAGTGAGATGAACCTAAAAGTGTTTTTCTAAAGTCTCATCAGATTTGATAAAAACCTTTTTGGGAGCTTGATTTCGAACTCAGGCTTTTTAGGGAATTTTTGTTCGTTGTCTTTTTACGGCAGCCCAAGCCCATTCGTCAGGCTGCCGGAACAAAAAGACCCCTACACCATCAACTCTATATTATTCGGTCAATTGGTCATACTGTTACATTCTATCAATGTTGCCATCAAATGTAAGGTTAAAACCATCCATAACCGTCATATGTTCCCCAAATAGGTGATAAAGTGGTGATACATAGGTGATACAGTAGTGATACAATGGTGATAAAGGGGTGATAGAAATTGTTGTTTGTGTTTACCTTTGTTTCATTTCTTCTACTTTTCTTTACTCATTTCTAGTATCCTAATTGTATTTTGCCTTTGTGTTGTGTTAAATAAGTGTTCTTTACGTTATCAAACTAGAACTTTGTATAAGCCTCCAATTCCTCATTGGAATAATCCTGTATTTACAAATCTATACTCCAATAGATTCGTACACTTGCGGGTATTTTTAATAGGATGATTAACACATTAATTTGTGCATGCCAATTATTAATACAACATCAAGCAATGCATTATAATCCAGTACCAATGAATCCTCCAATTGAGACAAAAACCTATTTGGTTTTTAACATAAGGCTCTTTGAATACCAGCCAATCTATCTAGAATAAGAGCTTTCTTTCGTTTCAAGTGGCCAAAAGTATTTTGGTTCCACTGTTTTAGAGGAGCAATTAACCCATAGGACTTATCAAGAGCAGAATCAAGAGTCTGCCCTCATTTTGGAGTCACAAAATCTTTGAAACTTTCGTGCTGCGTCCACATCATTCAAATCTAAAGGGTCTGACATTTGTAGAGGAGATCATGTAGGAATGCATAGAGATTTTAATGGGACAATAGTAAAATATAATTATGATACTAGGAATGAGTAAAGAAAAATAGAAGAAATGAAACAAAACAAGAAATCAATGGTAAACACAAACAACAATTTCTATCACCTCTTTATCACTACAGTATCACTACTGTATCACCATTGTATCACTACTTTCTCACATATTTATCACCACTTTATCACCTATTTTGGGTACATAGGATGGTTATGAACGGTTTTACCCTTACATTTAACGGCAACATTGACAGAATGTAACGGTAAGACCAATGGATCGAATAATATAGAGTTGATGGACCATTTGAATGAATAATTTAATTGAGGAACCAAAATGTAAATTGAGTATAAGTTTTAGGACCATTTGAGTACTTAACTCTATTTATGTATAAAGATACATTTGAAGGTAAGACTCATTACGTCCCCCTAACTATGTGTATCTTTTTATGTTTATTAATGAAATTCACTGATGACATCGAATTTTTAATATAAGTTTCGCCAATCATATTTCGAATCTTGAATCTGGCACTCATAGGTGTCTCACATCACATATAACCTAGGTGCCACTGACATGACATTCTAAAGTGTGAGACAAACTGGAATTTTTATCGCAAGAAAGAAACAGTGAGAAGTAGACCATGGAATATTCTCTTTTTTATTTTCCCCGCAAGAAACTTCCATGAATTGAATTGTAGTGGTGGAGCGGAGGAACGCGCCATTGCCTGCCGGGTCAACTTCATCAAATTAGCAAAACAGCCAAAAATATCCATTGACTTGACGACGAAAAGCCCAACTGAGCGCAAAAAAAAAAGAGTTGACCCGTACAATACCCGACTCACCTGCCCAACCGCAACCGGATCCAAATATCACTGGATCAGAGCCCAATTTACTAGACTGTGTCATAATCGGACCTGGCCATTTCGACCCGCCCCAGATGAGCTTCGTCTCACATTTGAATTGAATTCATCGTTCCTCTTCCCTAACGTTGAACTCTCTCTCTGATCACAACCAGAGGCTCAGAGAGAGCGAGAGAGAGAGAGAAAGAGAGAGAGAGAGAGAGATTAGAGATGTCTCTGAAGGCGTCGAATTCGGGCAAGAATTTGATACTGCCAGTATCGGATTCTCCAAGAGACCTGGAGAGAGAGAGATTCGTCGGAGACGATAACGATGAGAAGCTTTTCAGAGGATCCGCCATGACCAGACGTGGAGCCTACGCTGCAATCTCTTACATGGCCTGCGCAGGTAAATTACGGAGCCTGCAATTTGATGCGTTTTTTGTTCCTAAAAATTAAAATTTCAAGTTTTAAGAGATGAAAATCAGATTTCAAGAAGTTTGAAGAAAATTGGGAGCTGTTGTATGCCATAATTTACTGGGTTCAGAATACGATTGGGCGAAGTCTGTGCTTGATTTTTTTGTTGTTATGAATTTGGATTTTTCGAATTTCTTCTTGGGATTGGCATAGTTTTTCAAAATTTGAATTTTTGTTGAGTTAAGTTATTTGTTCCCATTTTGTTGTGCAGTGTTATTGGTGATGTTCAACAAAGCAGCTCTCTCTTTTAAGTTAACTAGTGAAATTTTAAGCGAAATCATCCTTTCAAAAAGTTAGCCGGGCCAAACAGCCTTGAGCAGACACAGAAAGCATTGAAATTTCTGATTACGTGAGCTAAACTTGACCTTCTGGTTGCTACTGCAGATGATATGTTCATGTGGTTTTCTCTATGCCTTGAGACGCTGGAAGATGATTTCTTTCACCGTAGGTGAATCTTTGACCATTTCTGATGACAATATCACAACACTTGTACCGTTAAAGACATTGAAGAAAACCCTTCCTCTTGCCGGAGCCTATTTGCTGTACATGGTATGCATTGTGTAATCTAATGTCGAGCATGCTCCTTTTTTTGTTTTTTTTATATAAATTTATTTTTAAAATTTTAAATTTTAAATTAACCTTTTTGTGAAAGGAAACATAATGATGCAGTGATTCCTCCTAGTTAGATTGTTTTGGTCGGTAACTATTATTCAATAGTTTTCTTAGTTGTATTTGTGATTAATGTTTGCCCATTCATTTATTTCTCCTTGAAAGCTAGCCTCCATGGAGTCTGTCCGTGGAGTAAATGTTCCCATGTACACCACCCTCAGGAGGACTACTGTGGTATTTACAATGGTTATGGAGTATATTTTGGCCGGGCAAAGATATACATCTCCTATTGTTCGAAGGTAAATGGCCCTTTAGTTTGTAATTTATTCTTCATATGCTGATGTTAATCAAGAGGACAATCGTTTCTATTAAAAATAAAATAAAAAATGCTGATGTTAATAATGTACAGATCATCTGCTCTTCTAGATAGACAAAAAGAATTGGATGGTTTCTTTTTTATTGGATGAAAGTTGTGAAAGCTGACCTGTCGGTGCTTTTCTTTATGGTCGTGAATTGGTCCAGTGAGAAAGTTTTACATTATGCCATGAATGAATGAATGTAATGAAAAACGCTTCTACATTATGTGTTTTACTTTATTGACCATCTACCTGATTTTCTCATTTAACTGAAAATTTTAAGGTTGTTATCAGTGTTGGACTGATCGTTCTTGGTGCATTCATTGCTGGAGCTCGGGATTTGTCATTTGATGCCTATGGCTATGCTGTTGTTTTCTTATCTAACATCACAACAGCAGTATATCTTGCAACCATAGCCCGTATTGGTAGTACTTTAACAATTTATCCTTTTGGGAAATCTTTCACTACATTTCCCCTTATTAGCTTGACAGGTTTCTAAGATATTGACTGTTACTTTCTTTTTCTCAGGGAAATCCAGTGGCCTTAATAGCTTTGGCCTTATGTGGTGTAACGGTCAGATAAAACATCCTGACTCGATTTTTGTCCTTTGGATTTTTCTAATTATTATTTTTTGGTTTTGTGCATAATTAGGAGTTTTCATTAATTAAATTCCAACTGTGACATAAAATGGTACTGTTTTCTCTATGATAGGAGTCATATGTGGGCCGGCTTTGCTGTTTTTGACTTTTATTCGTGGTGACTTGAAGACGACAATCGATTTTCCTTATCTGTTTTCACCTGGTTTTATGGTACTTTATTTACCAACAGCACTCTTCTCTGCTAATAAATATAAACTTAACGCTTTGAAAGTTGTCTTGCTACTCCTGAAATGTGCCTTATCTGCATGGCATTGTGGTTTTGCTTGCTTATAAGCTATGCATGCTTATTTTAAATATGCTATCTTCTGGTACACTTTATGCCCCACTGATTGCATTTTTATTGAAAGGTTTAGTTTACTGCTATTTGACAATTTTTTTTATCATGTAATTTGCAGTTAACGTCATTTTACTTGCAGTTTGGTTCATTGGTTCCCTGTGTATGATATTATTCCAGTGCGATATTTAATTGCAGTTCGCTATTTAATTGAACTTAAGATAAATCTGCCATGTTTCATGTAGAGCTTCATTGATTTCTTTCGCCTCCAGCTGTCTATGTGGGCTGCATGGATTAGTGTTATATATTATGCTTGAAATTGGTGGAAGTGGGGCGTTTGGACCTTTGAATTATTCTTTCATGTTCAGTAGTTTTAAGTTTTGAAACCATACAGAATGAGTTTCAATGCTATTTGTAAGTAGCATTTTACATCGTCATTTGCGGTTGTTGGCATCTCATGGATTGATGTTCATTCAACTGACATCAATCGCCCAAGTATACCATGCCTATTTTGCTTCTTCTTACAGTACTTAAATAAAACTTCCGAGTAATTCGTAGGGTTTTATTGAGAGACATTGTTTTTTCCTTTTTTTCTTTCTTCCTCCTTTTGGCAGGCTGTCTTGCTTTGTTCCTGTATACTGGCATTCTTTTTGAATTACAGCATATTCCTGAACACAACTCTAAATTCAGCGCTCACACAGACAATTTGCGGCAACTTGAAGGTTTGTTTTGGCTAAATTTATTTCTCAGATGTATTACAACATAATTTAGCAGCCTATGTACGATGTTTTCTTATCTTTATTCAAGCTCTTATATGTTTTGGTGACTTAAACTGGTATAGGATTTTTTCACCATTGGACTTGGCTGGATGCTATTCGGTGGCCTTCCATTTGATATTGTAAGTTGAAGCTCTTCTTCATTCTTAAAAAAAAAGAACTTGTTTCTCTTTCTATTTAGAAATTGATGTCTGTTTTTTGTTTGTTCTGCTAGTTGAATGTTATTGGGCAATTTCTGGGTTTCCTTGGTTCTGGATTGTATGCCTACTATAAGCTCATAGGGAAGTAACATTTTCAACAAATTGCTGGTTTTCTCCGCTGAAGATGATTAGTTGCTGCTGCCCTTGTTTCGGCCACCAATTTTGATTTTTGATTATGGGCTACTAGTAGAAGTGAGATGTGATACTGTTAATACAGAAGATTTCCGCGCAGCGGATTTAACTCTTAACTGGAAACGAGGCCTGCTACTTTTGCCCTGTAATTATTCTTCTATATGGATAGGTGTTAGAAACAGTGGTGGCAATTTGGCATTGGGAGCTGCTTGCTCATCTAATATATATATATATTTTTAAAGCTTGACATTGTGAGCCTTTCTTATTCCAAGGTTTTCAGTCACACATGCTCACTTTCTTTTTATTTATTTTTAATACAAATGATATTTGGGGATGGGGATTCTTGCCTTTATGGCTTTTAACAAAAGGAGTATTTTTTTTCTTTCTTTGGGGTGTGTTTTGTTGAAGCAAAAGTGGTTATAAGAGCAAACGCTTGGGATCATATAGGTATTGGTTGTCATAGAGGTATTGGTTGTTACTCGTTATTGAGATTAAATGTCTAATCACCTATCAATTGTTAAATGTCTAATGAAATAACAGTTAGGTTCTTGGGTCTTTTACTTAAAAATAGTGTTTTAAAGTGTTTTCCAAACTATGAAAGCAAATTTTGAGGGACTTATTTGTGAATAGCTCTATTTAATTTATTTATTTTTGGGACATAACAAATATCTGTAGAGAGAGATTCAAAATCGGATGCAAGGGTGACGATGCCTATGGTTCTTCTTCCCAACTCATCCTTTCGAAATGGTTATTTCACGTACAATATATAATATATTGAAGAAAATAGTTCAAAGAAGAAAAAGAAAAATGAAACATATGTGAAAGGGAATCAAGTATTTGTTTTATAAAATGTAAAGTAATTAGTTTATTAATATCATAGTGTGTTAATTAAAGGTTGTCTTATAAAATCATTACTAAAAAAGAAAAGAAAAAATTGTTCTATAAAATCAGAGGACAGAAGATGGCGCCTAAAGACGGCAGGTCAGTTACTGCCGCAAAAGAGTTAAAACGTCAACTGTCATTCCATTAATTTCTTTTATTTTATATTTTATTTTATATTTATTTTTGTCTGAACAACTGGCAATCTTCTCAAGCCTCACAAAACCAATATACCAAAACGTAGAAAAGGGGAAAAAAGAGGGAAAACTTCTCCCTCTCTCTTTCCTTCCCTCGCTTTTCTCTGTTCTCTTTTTTCTCTTTCTTCTTTTTCCTTCTGGAATTGTCTCCGACAGAAGCTCCAAAACTGCTGCCAGAAAGCCCAAACCCTAGAAAATCCCAAGCCCCAAGCGTCTTTACAATGCGTGTTCTGCTTCCATAGGAATCTCTCTCTCTCTCTCTCTCTCTCTTTTTTTCTGGTTTTTTTATTGTTAATCTGTAGCTCCATTTTTGGTATAAGGGCATGGGTTGAGAGAGAGGGCCAGGGAGAAATTCTCACAGCTATGTCTTATAGCACGCTGAGAATTGACGACGACGATTTTGTCCCTGTTAGGCCTTCCTCCGTCGAACGCCCTCGCCGCTCTAATTCGTTGCCCTTTGTCCCGTTGCTGCTCATCGATGGCTTCTCTCGCAAGAGCTTCTCATATTCTGCCCTTCCCCAGGAGCCTCTCAGACTCTCCGTTCTTAAATTGGACGGCTCTTGTTTCAGTACTCTCTCTCTCTCTCTCTCTCTGACTTTCTGTGGTTGTTCATTGGTGCTGTTGTTTGGCTGCCGAGAAAATGTTGGAAAATGAACTGAATTTTTCGCCTTCTTTTTTAGTTACATTTGGGTTTCAATCCTAGGAAAGGCTTAGGAATTCTATCTGTCTCTGTAATTCTCTTTCTAGATGGTTAATCTCATTGCTGCTTGTTTGTTTGCCGAGAAAATTGTGGGAATGTAGGCATTCAACTTATGTCAATTGTGGGTTCTTTTGGTCTGAAAACACAATTTTACGCGTAATAAGCTTTCAGGGTCAAGGTCGGATTTGATTTCTTTTTTTCCTTTTTCATATTGGGAAAATTTCTTATACAGAGATTTTAGTATTTTACATTATGAAATATACACGGTTTTTCCAATCTTCGTAGGATTTGATTGTTCTTCTTTCTTTTTCCTTATCATATTCTCAGAAACTAAACAGGGGTTAAGGGTAATGTATTGTGCAGTTTGCTGTCTTGATAGTTCTCCAATTCAATCCTTAATACAGCTGACTCTCTCTCTCTCTCTCTCTCTCTCACTTTTTTTATAAAAAAAAAGTTCTTGTCGTGGTTTCTGTTTTTTGGCTGGTGTTTTTCAATCTTTTTCTAAGGACTTGCATAAACTAAGATTTTCACTTTCACAGATATCGAAGTTGCCAAGACAGCCACTGTTTTAGAACTGAAGCAGGCGGTTGAGGCGGTTTTTAGTCACATGCCGCAGAAGGGACCAGGAAAAATTTCATGGTATTTTCACATCCTTAATTGAAGTATTTTGGGTTAAAACAAAAAATGATTTAATCACAGAAATTTGTCTTTGCTTAGTATTCAGTTGTGAAGTTTAGAAAATCTATTATAAGGTTGCTCATTTTCCATGGAAACTTGCATTTTTTTATACTCTTGAGTTGAGAAGTTCATTGTACAATTGGATTCTTATCATGTATAATTAACACTTAGTGATGTTCCTTGTTTAAATATGGTTTACTTAGGCCACACGTGTGGGGGCATTTCTGCTTGTGCTATGGTGCTCAGAAGCTAGTTGTTGAAACTGATCATATCAGACATTATGGCATCAAAGATGGTGATCAGGTATGTGGCAGATCCCTTCAGTTTTTAAAATATCTTTTGTCCCCTTGGTTAATGTCACGCTGATGGTCTGCATAAAGCTTCACCAAGTGATTTTGCTGAGCCTTTGGTGTGTGCTACAGTTGGTTTTGTTTGATCTTCCTGAGGCACATTCATTGTTGCTGAATTACAGAATTAGCATCATTAAGAAGTTGTATTTCCTTCTATTCGGTTCATATGCGTGTTTAGAATATAGTTGCATTTTTGTTCTTCCCTCTTCTATTTTTTTTAATAAGGGGAAGGGAAGTAAGAATCGAGCCCTTGTCACACACAATTGTATATTTCATCTTCATTTGGCCTACGCCTCCTATGTCATTGGAATTTTCTTCATTTATGTCAACCGGTCTTGTTTGGTACATGCAGCTTCATTTTGTCCGGCATGTTTCAATCAGCTACACCCTGACAAAGAAGCAATCTAAGAAAGGGCTCATTGGTTCGAAACAAAACACGACGTGAGGCTTTTTCTATTGGCATTTCTGTTCTATAAGAATTTTAAGCACAAAAACATGGAACCACCTACACAGATAAGGACCATTGTTGCCTGGCCAGCCATGTTGTGTATTGAGTTCATATGTTCGATAATGTGCAGGTCAATACCACGATCAATTAGTCTTGAAGAGATAGAAGCGATTGACAAAGAGGAAGAGCAGAGTGACAGAGACATCGAACAGCATGACGAGGTATTTTATGATTCTGATGACATCGAGAATCCAAAGTCCACGCATTGTAATGGTGAAGTTTCTATCGAACACAATGAGAGCACACTGCCTAGCTTGTTGGGAGAGTGGTTTCCATACTCCAGGCTGTCAGCTGTAGGAACCACATCTAAAAGAAGTTTAGCGTGTGCCCCAAGCATTGCCACTGGGTTGCTGGTTGGGTTTAGGAAGATGTTTGGGCTTTGTTTTGAAAAACGTGATAAACGCTATAGTCGAAGGGATACTTGGAGAATAGATTAGTGCTGAGGAAATAATATGCATTTGTTCCTGCTGCCCAGAATTTGGTTAGAATATCATAAAATTATACTTGGCCTACCTACACGAGACAAGTCATTTGCCACTTTAAAGTCTGATGTTCTATTCCCCACATTCACAGCACCTCAAAAAAGAAAAAGAAAAAAAACTTGTACCTCTAAAGATTTTGGAATTCATCAAGTACATGCAACTGATTCTTCTTCATGAGAGAGGGTTTTGTCTTTTTGAAGCTTTCATTGTAATTATTTGATGAGAGTTCTGTGTCTTAAGCCAGCCACTATTTGGGCCAGGACAATTCCAAGAATTGAATTTTGGGCCAATTGTGTTTCATGGGTCAAATTCTTTTTGACCCATGAATTGGATCCAACAATCATAGAGGCTCCTGTGGGTCAAGTCACAATCCAACTCTTCCATCCATCAGAACCTCATATCAAAATGTGTGGCAAAGAATGAGATAGCCCTCTCTGCGAAGATTTACACTCTCAGCCCCCAAAATCCCACAAACTCTGAATATCCCAGCTCCAGAGAACAAACAGAAACCAGAAAGAAAGCAGCAGAGTCGCCATGGCCAACATGATCATGGCCTCCTCCAAAGTACCCATTTCTTCCCCTTCCCCGTCTCCCATTTCGAAGCCCAGAATCCCAATCCAAATCTCCATCCCCAAAATCCCAACCCTCCCAAAACTCTCAAAGTCCCAAATTCTCTCCCTCTCGTCGTCCCTCTCCGTTATCGCAGCCACCTCCCTCTCCTGGGCCCCACCCTCATTGGCGGAGGAGATAGAGAAGGCAGCCCTCTTCGACTTCGACCTCACCCTCCCCATTCAAATGGTGCAGTTCCTGCTCCTCATGGTGGCCCTGGACAAGCTCTACTACAGCCCGCTCGGGAAATTCATGGACGAGAGAGACGCGGCGATCAGAGAGAAGCTGGGCAGCGTGAAGGACACTTCGGAGGAGGTGAAGCAGCTTGAGCAGCAAGGCATCGCCATCATGAGAGCTGCGAGGGCTGAGATATCGGCGGCGCTGACCAAGATGAAGAAGGAGACGCAGGGGGAGGTGGAGCAGAAATTGGCGGAGGGGAGGAAGAAGGTGGAGGCTGAGTTGCAGGAGGCTTTGACCAAGTTGGAGGAGCAGAAGGAGGAGACCATTAAGTCCCTTGACTCTCAGATTGCCAATCTCAGTGACCAGATTGTCAAGAAGGTCCTTCCTCTCTGAGCGAGTGACTTGTTCTGTTTCTCTCTCTTTTTTTATTTTTCTTTTGAGGTAATTTGGGAATGGAAATTGGATGATGTGTCTATGATTATAATGTAATATTTGTAATGGTAAATGAATGAATTACTGTGTTTTCTTATTGTTTGGACTTGGTTTTGACAAGGGAGCCACTCGTTGTACTTGTAATTATAATAATGTTTTTGTTAATCTAATCTGGGTTTCTCTTCTGCTATATGATTTTGGGGAAGTGTAATTTGTATAATTGGAGAGCAAAAAAGAAAGAAAGAAATCATGGGATTTGTAGCAATGGGAAAGATGAGTAGGGTGAGGAAAATAGGTTGAGATTTAAGCATACATTGGGTTATACCAGTTGATCAAGTCAGTCTCATGTTCATTAATTAGAGTACTTTAAACTATCGCTTATGTTTTAAAAACGTGTTGAGACTGCAAAGCCATAACAGATTACCAATACATTTTGTGTATGTGTATTGACATGTTCTTCGCCACACGCATGGTGACCAATGGCAGGAGCGATGGATGGTGTTGATGCTCCCGCACTTCGTTTTTGCTTACCGTTACAGCCTTTACATATTTAACAAGAAAAAAAACGAAAAGAAAAAATTTGGGCAATGTGGAGTAGTATTTGGACTTTCTTCTGCCCGTGGTTCCGAACAACCTCTTGCACGCATGGAAGTTTGTTCGTCGTTGATGTGATGTGGGATTCATTTGTATATAAAGTTACGAACAAACTTTTGCACGCATGAATAATTATCAGTCGCTGATGTGATGTAGGATTCATTTGTATCGAGTGTCAAACAACCATCTATACGCTGATGGACAAATGTCTTTATGTCAAGGGCGGACGTACCAAGGGACAAGGGGGTCAATTGACCCCTTGGGATGCCGGCTTTCGGCTGTGGAGGTCTCAGGCGAGCAGTTGCAAACCCCTTGGCCAGCAGCTTGTTGACCCCTTGGGTGCACTGAACGTGCTCGAAGAAAGTCTCCAGAGAGAGAGAGAGAGAGAGAGGTTACTACGATGATAATGGGTGGGTGCGAGAGAAAAGGAAAGGCAAGGCAGAGCAGATCAAAAGGAATTTGTGTTGCAAACCAGAGGAGCAAAAGAGTCACTGGAAGAAGAGCTACGGACAGAGAGTTCGACTGGAGAGGGGGAAAGAATAGTCTATCTTTGATTTGTGTTGTGTCGTGGGCTAGTCTTTTTTTTGTTTTTTGTTTTTTCTGAAGGCCTATTTTGCTTTGAAAACAATATAAAAATATAAGGCCGCGTTCGGTATCGTTTTCACGGCCCGTTTTCTGTTTTCATTTTCTGTTTTCTGGCAAAAACCTGTTCGGTTGGAACGTTTTTGTTTTCCCTAAAAATATTTTCCAAAAACAAATCCAATTCATGAACAAAAGTTGAAAACGAAATTATGTTGTTTTCGTTTTCAACGTTTTCATTTTCAGTCCATACTATAATTCATTTTTTTCATCTCTCTTTCTCCAATCAACATCGATTCTTGTCTTTGAAATTCTCCATAGCTATTCTTCTTCTTCTAAAATCTCTGAGATCGTGATTTACTTATCAAGCACCAGACCCAAAAAAAAAAAAAAAAAAAAAATAAAAAGAGGGGACCCCCCTGGGAAACACA